AAATTGAGGGGGAAACTGCAAAGCCCCACCCGCCAACATGACTTTGCCAACAGCCCCTCAGAAACCACAAGGCTGCTCTTTATGAGCTTCCAAAAAAACAACCACACAAAAGAAACCCAAAAAAAAATCCCAAACACCCCCCCCAACAAACAAACAAAAAACACCAGCAAAAAAGCCCTCCCCTCCCCAGATTCCCCAGCTTTCTCCTTTACTGCTTTGTAAGCCTTCAGCTGCACTGTGTCCGCATCTCTAAACAAGTCTGTGCAAGCTTCAGTTAATTCCTTTGAAAATACACAATGGAAAGCAGAGATCCTCACCCAGACAGGGTGGCAGGAGGCCTTTTTTTTTTTTTTTCCAAATTGGTGATTCGTTATACCGTAAGCAGGGTTAGATGCTAAACACTTTTCTGTTTTTCTTTGTGGTTAAGAAAACCCATGGATGAATGGATGGATGGATGATTGGATGGGTGCGTGGACAGACAGACGGATGGATGGATGGATGGATGGATGTTCACATTTGCTGCTATGTTATGGTGACTGTAGCAGTGAAAGCCCTGAGGGTGCACAGAGTATAGTCCACATATATTGAGAAGCATCACTTTGAGGGATTGCTGCTATTGGCAGCTGGTTACCGTGTCCCAAAGTGTGGTAGGACAAAGCCCTCGTGGCTCAATCTCTTACCAGTACTTCTCACTACATCTTGGAGGTCAAAAGCCATGAAAAAACAGCGGACGCAAACGCACATTGTGGTTATGAAACCACGTGGGTTCAGTACACGCAGTTATCTATCTGGCCTTCGCCTGTGCTGCTGTGCTATCTGTTGTTATTTCTGTGTCAAAAGCAGGTACCACAAAACCAGCTGGAGGCACAAACCCCCAGATTCCCAGGGATTTTGCAGATACTCCCCCTATTTGGGATCCTATCAAGGCCATGAACTGTGTCAGCGTCCACAAGCTGTTGGCTAATCGGAAGGGCTGTCTGTGCCAGAGGATGGGCTTTCACAGTGTCCTTTCCTAGCCAGCCGCCGCCAAAGGGTGCTAAGCTGGCTCTTGTGCAATCACGGAGGCAGGGTGTTTGCGTGGGGGAGAAGGATGAGCTGCTGGAAGGCGATATAAGGCACGCAGTGAGGAGCGCAAGAGCGACCCAGGGCAGCGCGGGGTGGAGGATCGCAGGGTGACCTGGCGATGGTAAGTGAGATGAGAACAAGGTAAGATCTTGACGCTGGTGGGATCTCTCCGGACTGCTGCAGCGAGCAAGGAGCAGAACAGGGAATCACAGAATAGTTTGGGTTGGAAGGGACCTTAAAGATCATCCAGTTCCAACCCCCTGCCATTGGCAGGGAAAACTCCCGCTAGACCAGGGTGCTCAAAGCCCCATCCAGCCTGGTCTTGAACACTTCCAGTGATGGAGCATCCACAGCTTCCCTGGGCAACCTTTTCTAGTATCTCACCACCCTCATAGTGAAGCCCTTCCTAAGTTCTAATCTAAATCTCCCCTTCTGCAGTTTGAGCGCATTACCCCTTGTCCTATGACTACAACCCCTTGTAAAAACACTCCTTGTTCAGAAGTCTTGTGGCTATAGCTACTCATGGTTGGGTGGAGGGGACACGTGACATGCTGCCAGACCAGAGTGCAGCTTTTGGCCTTGACTTTGCCCTGCTCTCTTGTGCATGTGCAGGACAGAGAGGTGGCAGAGCATCACTCCAGGCCCAGCTGACTCACATCGATGGCTCTGAGAACGAGAGCTGTCCAGGGCTCATCCAGCACCATGCCGTTAATTTACCTACAGAAATCCAATTGTCTGTACTAAATGGGGAGATGGACTTAATCTGTGGCTTTGTGGCATTAATTTTAATTGTGTTCAGCTACTGGAAGAATGAGGATCCTTTTGCAAATCCTAACTCTTCAAAAGAGCTGCAGTGGGAAGAGGGACATTCCTTTTTTCCTCTGGGGAGCCTGGAGTGATGCCTCAGCTGTGTGGTTTTACTCAAAGCGCCTATTTTTGCTGAAATGTGGCTTTATCACTGCCCACACATCCCTGCAGGTCTGAGGTCTGGTTTCTCCCTCTCCTCTTTCTGTAATAGCTACCTAAGGTCAGGACAGTGTTTGACCCTTGTGTTGTCCTGCAGGCTGGGAGGCATCTGACCCTTTGGGATAGGAAATTATTTTGTGCCATTGAACCTAGATTTTTTTTTAAGAAATACAGCATAGAAATTATTGCACCCATGCTTGAGGGTTGGCTCTTTCTGAATGGCTGTCACAAACACCATCAGCAAGTGTGCTAAAAACCCGAGTTACCCAGAGCCTGCTTGTTTTTTCAGGAAAGGACTATGAGATCTTTGCTGCTGATCTCTGCCCTCTGCATGGCTGGCTGCGAAGGTAACAAGAGTGAGTCTCCTGGTACACTGTCCCTTGCTGGGTAACAAATGGGTGGTGTGGAAAGCAGAGGTCAAACCGCTACCTGATCCATGTCCAGGTTCCTCATTCAGGGCACTGCTGAAGGCTGCTAAGGAGGCACAACAGAGCTGGGCTCAGGGAGGGCAGGAACTGAGGTGCAAGAGCTGGCAAAAGAGGCAGAAACCTCAGACCCTCCGTTCCTGCCACATATGGTGTATAACCCACCACCATGGAGATGGGCAGAGGTGCTGTGACGTGCCACCACTCTCCTCCATAGCTGGTGGCAGGCTCCCTAGCTCCAACCCAGATTACAGCCATGCTGGGGAGGTCTCCCCAGCCCTCAGTCACATCCTTGCAGGGAAGCCAAGGTGACAGGTTCTCCTCAGATGTGCCTGCTCTGGCTCTGAGCTGTGCAGGGCTCGACACCGTGGGGCGAGTTCTCTCTTGGGTCTCTCACAGGGGAGATACTCCTGCTGCACCTCAGCTTACCTGCCTTGCCTTTGCTGCAGGTGAGCTGGCCAGCCCACACACCCTGAGGGGAGGGTCTGAGCTCCGTCTCCAGAGGAGCCTGGATGCCTGCCTGCCAAACCCATGCCAGCACAAAGGGAGCTGTCAGGTCGTGGAGGACAGACCAGTTTGTAGCTGCAAACCAGGCTTCACGGGAGCATTCTGCGAAGGTAGTACTGGGGATGCTGGTGGGCCCTCCCAGTCTGTCCATGAGCACCAGAGGGAAGGGTGATGGGCACAGTGCACTCCTGTTACCACTGCTCTCCACTGCAGGCTCCAGGAGCACGTCTCAGCTCATGGTTCTTGTGCATTCCTCACCAGCCCTCACCATGTCCTGACTGTATGTTGATACAAGACCCAGTCACAGGCCATTTTCTTCCTCCCCAAAAGGCTTAATTCCTTAATTCCTTGGCTGTCAAGGAATAATGCCATGATGTGCCAGGGCAGCAGGACATACTGTGGAGCACAGCTGCCTCACAGCCTAAGAATAAGCACACGCACTCCAGCGCAGCTACACTGGAGCCCCTTCCAAGACACTGGCCAAAGTCTGTGTCTTCATCTGAGAGACAAGATCACTGTCCCTCTCTGGTGCCCTTGGTAGACTGCAGTGGTTCCACAGACAGCCGTCAAAAGGGGCCAGACCCATGACATCTGCTTTTGATGTCTTGAGCTTAAGGACTGTGTCTGTTCAGAGATGGGGCAGCCATGGGCTTGTGCAGATCCTAGGCAGCCAGTAGAAAATGACAGACACACATTAACTTCTGAGCATTCCCAAAGGTTTGTCTTTGGCCCAGTGTCTCTGCAGAGCCCTGCCAGCTGCCTGCAGGAAGGCTGGGGTGAGAGTCTGCCAAGCTCGGTGGGACTGTGCCATCCCCCAGCTGTCCTAGGGCTCCTCCAGGCTTCTCCCTTATTGCTATTGCAGATGGCTTTTTCCCCTAGATTTGGTACTGAAGTTGTCCTGCGAGGAAGAGCACATGAAGATGATGGTGAGGAAGGAGGTGTTTGAACTCTTGAAAATCCCCCGGGAGCTGGTCCACTTGAAGAGCCAGGCATGCAAAGTCTCAGAAAGGGAAGAAGAGGGCAAGCTGTTCTTTGCAGCCACTCTCACAGGTGAAAACCACACTGCCTGTGGATCAATAATTCAGGTGAGGATCCAGCAGAGCCTTCTGCATAGCTCCAAAGCCACAACAGGAGCAGACGTGCTGAGTGGGGACAGCAAGGTGAAGCCCCAGAGCCTTTTCCTTTTATATCTGAGTGCTGTAAAGTTCTCGTTCCTCTTGGAAGGCGTGCCTGGGGTCTGTCAGAAAGCTCTTCTGTCTCCACCAAACCCTGCTGGCAGCATGTCTAATCTTATTCAGCAGACCATCAAAGTCTCAGTGTGCTTTTTACTAGTCGGTAACTGCCCATAGCTTTCTGGCAGCATCCTCTGAGCTCTACAGCCCTGGCTGTAGCACCTTGGTCCCTCACTTGATTCATGGGGGAGGAAGGGTGCAGAAGAACCAGTGCTCCAGCTCTGCATTGCACAGAAGGGCCCTCACCTGTGGTCACTATGCTGACTGCTGCCTACTCCAGTGATGGTTGCCAGTAGCCACTGGACACGGGGCTT